TATTAACTTCATTTAAAAATACTTTCGTATTTAACAGATTTTCATCAAATGTATCTCACTCATGCACACAAACACATACTCTTAAAATAATATTATCAAGAATATGGATTTCATTGTTTTAAAGTTAATATCATTTATGCCATGGAAAGAATTATGGTTTAATGAAAAGAGAGGGTCTTGAGAGTCAGGAACACCTTGATTCCACTCTTGATTGGACACTTGTTATTTGACCTTTTTTTTAAAAAAAGAATATATTTTATTGATTTTTTTTTACAGAGAGGAAGGGAGAGGGATAGAGAGTTAGAAACATCAATGAGCTGCCTCCTGCACACCTCCTACTGGGGATGTGCCCAGAACCAAGGTACATACCCTTGACTGGAATCGAACCTGGGACCTTTCAGTCTGCAGGCTGACGCTCTATCCACTGAGCCAAACCGGTTAGGGCTTGTTATTTGACCTTGCTGAGTTTCTTATGACTGGCCCCCACCCCTTGCCTTGGTCTTGTTATCTGTAAAATGCCAGTGACATCGGCTTCACATGGTTAGATGACATAATGCACCTAAAGCACCTGACAAAGGTTAGTGGTTGAATGAATGCTAGGATTTTTCCCTTTCCCCAAGAAAAGTGAAATATTAACTGGTATACTGGTTAAATATGAGCCTAGGGATTTTCCCATTTGCAGCTTAAAAAAAGGAAGACTAGCAAGGAAAATCTCCATCCAGTAAAGAGAATGCCAAGTGAGTGCTTAGTTTTCTCAAATAAATAAGAATTTCCCAACCCCCATTCTGTGTGCTTTTTCAAAGTCTGATGATTAAGTAAAAAAAAAAAAAAAATATTTTTCTTTTTGGAATATAATTGAGACTATTTCTTTGAATCATATTTATGGAATAGTAGCTAGAGATCACCTTCTTTAAAATAAGCTGCTCATTTGTGATGGTCTTAGCATGGAGAAAGGAACATGAGAAAAGTGTGGTTGCCTAATTTAGATGTCAGTACTTTGACTTTTTTTAAAAAACAGCTTTGTTGAGATATAATTCACCTTCTACAAAATAGACCTGCTTAAAATATACAATCAATGGTTTTCAGTACACTAAGAGCTCTGCAGCCATTGCCACAATAATACACTTCCATTACCCTAAAAGGAAGCCCCATGTCCTTAGTCCCCACCCTCCGGTTCCCCTGCCCTCCTCCAGCCCCTGGAAATTGCTAGTCTGCTTTCTGTCTCTATGGATTTGCCTATTTCTGATATTTCGTAAAAATAAGGATCATATAATAAATGGCCTTTGTGACAGTCCTTTCAGGACCTTACCTGTTAATACTTTGTTTGGAGAACAAGTTGAGGCTGCCACAGGTGTTCCATTCAGGTTTTGTTTCCCTTTAAGAGTCAATGCATAATACCGGATACTAAACCTGAAATGATTTTTAAGCTCAGGAAAAAGAAAATGCAACAGTTTTCAGGGATTTTTGTTACAGGTATTTTGATGTACTGTTTAAACATGATGCCACTTAAACATTTTTAATAGTTTTATTAATATAATACAAGTTCCAAAGGGAAAAAAAATAAGAAAAAATATATACTACAAGTTCCACATATTCAAAAAGTACAATTTGATGAGTTTTGACAATAAGTATATACCCATGAAATCGTCACCACAAACAAGATAATGAACATATCTGTCATTTCTAAAACTTCCTTGTGTCTTTATTCTCTCCCATCTGAGATAATATTTGGGAGTAGTATAATGGTAAGGGACAGCGTGTGTGGAGCTAGCTGCTGGGTTACCTTGTATGAATATTGTGACTTCTCTAATTTTTTGTTTTCTTACCTGTGAAGTGGAGATACTTAATGTATCTACGTCCAGTATTGTGGTTGCTATTAAATTAAAAATTTTTATGAAGCAGTTAGTACAGTGTCTAGCACATAGTAAGCACTCCATAAATGGTAGCTATTGTTAATGTGATTTTATTTTATGTTACCCTAAATTACTTGATATACAGGATGGGGCAAAAGTACATTTATAGTTGTTCATATGAAAAATAATACAATAATAAATAAATAATAATACAACAATAAACTCTGTTTTGTGAACTCAAAACTGTAAACCTATTTTACCTCACCCTGTATTAGATAATTCATCATTATTATGTGTCAATATGAAGCCTAATATGAGTACATATGGTAGGTACTCAATTTATATTCCTTGATTCTCTTTTCTCCTTAATTCTTTTTTTAAAAATACATATATTTTATTTATTTTAGAGAGGAAGGGAGAGGGAGAGAGAGATAGAAACATCAATGATGAGAATCATTGATCGGATGCTTCCTGCACGCCCCCTACTGGGGATCCAGTCTGCAACCTGGGCCCATGCCCTTGACTGGAATCGAATCTGGGACCCTTCAGTCTGCAGGCTGATGCTCTATCCACTGAGCCAAACCGGCTAGGGCTCTCCTTAATTCTTGATAAGTACACTATATGGCACTTATTATTATTCACTAACCCTGATTATTAACTTTGAGAACTTATTTGAAAAATTTACATTCATTCTATCATTCATCCAACTAATTTTATGAATACATGTTGTATTTCATCACTGAATCAGGCACTGTGAGTGATTCTGAGTTGAATAAGACATAAGATACATCCTGTGTACATTTAACAAGGGTATAAGACAGAATATTCATAGCTGATGCATGAGCTAAGTGACATGAAGTTGAGAGGCAGGAGTGCTTGCTTCCAGCAGTGGACACCCGGGGATGGTCTCATGAAGGCTGTGCAATTTGATTAAGGACTCGGGGGCACGGAAGGGAAGACATTCAACCTGAGAAATGGGATCAGTATTGTGCAGGGCTCTCCAGCTCAGTCTGGGAACAGAGAGCGGCCTCGGTGTAGTTGGAACACAGCAGTGTAGAGGTGAATGAAATAGCTGGTGAAGGGGTTGGGGGAGTCCAAAGAGGCTTGCTGGGTGAGGAGGTGAGATGTGTGCTGTCAAGCAGTAGAGAGCCAGTGAAGGTGTTTTTCAGCAGGGGAGAGAGTTGTACCACAAGTAGATAGCTTTTGGGGTGGCTGTTTATGGATGGAGTTGACGGGAAGACAGTTAAGCAATGAGGACTTTTAAGTGTTAGGATGTTACTTAGATCGGTTAGTAACTATGAGAAAGGAAACAGGCACATTGTAAGAGATCGGTAGGGTTGGTGCCTGACTGGTTGTCAGGGGTGGGGCTTTCTTCTTTTGGAAATCTTGTAGAGTGCTTACAGTGTGCCAGCCACCGCAAGCCAGTCCCCACAGCCATGAAGTGCAGGTATAATTGTTATACCCCTTTTACTGGTGAGGAAACCAAGACTCAGGGTGGCTAAGAGAAGTGTTTGTTGTCCTCCAATTGTGCTGCGCCTCCTCTGTCCAGGTCCTTTTCCCAGTCAGACCTTCTCAGTGACTTCTCACTTAGCCTTCAACAGCTTCTTCTCCATCTGCCCTCTCGTCTCTGCGCTTTGCTGTCTCCTTTGTTCAGGTCTTCGTCACTCATGGCAGCTATTGTGACACAATCCAAGGTCATCATTTTCACTCTGACAGTGTTTTCTCGAAACAGAAATTGGGTCATGTCTTTTTGTATTTTTAAGATGCTTTCTCATTGTGTCTGGGTGGAGTGTGACATTCAGGGCTCTTGCTGTATTCTGATCCTTTATAGATGTCATTTGTCCCCTCCCCCCAAAACGCCAGCTTCTGTTTGGCTCTGCCTTTGCTTAGGCACTTTCTCACCCTGAAACACCCTTCCTCCTTTTCTCTGCATCATGAACTTCTCATCATTCTTCAGGAGCTCACGCAGGTTGTGGTGTCTGTCATACCTCTGGCAACAGGGCTCTTCGTTCCTTCCTATTAGGCTGTATAGCATGTCTTGTAGTTACTTATCCAGTGCCATACCCTTTTCAGAATTGATTTGCAGCAGCTTATAAAAATACATGTTGCAGTAAAAAGCAGATGGATGAACATATAAGAGCAAATGGACTATGATGATAGGAAAATAAAGTCAAGAATAAAGTTAGGATAGAAATATGTTCCATCGTGGCCGGCACGATGCTGGAGGCAGCTTCAGCGTCTACTCTGAGCTTCCTCATCAGAGTGAAAAGGGAAGCGCGGACTCGGAGTTTTCCCAGCGACAGTCCAGTGCGGAAAGCCAGTTGCTCCAGAGAAGAGCTTTTCCTGTTACTGAGAACTGATAGATGTTTCTGGGGTGAGTGGAAGGTAGGGGTGAAGTTGTTACATGAGGTCCTAAAACACAGCTGCTTCTTGATCGAGCTCAATCCAAGGACAATATGTAGAATAACCAAGGGATTAACACATCATATTCGTTGTAGTTATTGCTTTACATCTGCTTAGTCCCCCTCCCCTCCCCCGCCCCCCAAATGATCAACTTCCTCAGGCAGGAACCATGTTTTGCTTTGGTTTGATCAATGATAGAAAACCTTAAGAGAAAGAATGAGAACGGTCTATGATTGTGATCCGCCCAGGAATCATCATCATGCTCTGATTTGAATTCTACTCAAAAAGTCAGATTCATGTCTGAGATCCAAATGGTTGTGAGTTTTCTTTCCTGTTTTAGGGACTGACCTGTGTCCGAGGCGGTTTTCAAGCAGTAAATGCACGAGCCACCTGAAATGGCAGAGGTGACTGCAGCTGGGCTCGTCTGCCACTCGTACTTCCGTAAGAGAGCCTTGGAAACATTCAGTACATTCAGCAGTGCTCAGTTTTAAATTCAATTTTTCCTCTGTTTGCTGCATTTGGGGTTAAGAGTGTCTTACATTACTATATTATCACGATTAGTGAGGCAGATTCAGAAAGAAGCATGCCTTTTCAAGAGCAAAGCAAAAACAGCAAATTTATTGAATGACTTCAGTTCTCCCCAGATAGCTCTTCTTTCTATTATTTATGTCAAATATGTCCTGTGATGACATAAGACCTTTTAACTTTTGTCTAAGGGCTGCTTTCCTTTTTTTGTACACTTAGGAACTTGATAAAGAACTCCCTGTGCTTAAGCCATATTTTATCAATGACCCTGAAGCAGCTGGAGTGAGCGAAGCTGGCCTAAGAGTCACGTGGCTGGGACATGCCTCGGTAATGGTGGAAATGGATGAGCTCATCTTTCTCACAGACCCCATGTTTAGCTCTCGTGCTTCGCCGTCGCAGTACATGGGTCCGAAGCGTTTTCGGCAGGCGCCGTGCTCTGTCAGTGAGCTCCCCGCCATAGACGCGGTCCTCATCAGTCACAGCCACTACGACCACCTGGACTACAGTTCTGTCATCTCTCTGAACGAGCGATTTGGTAATGACCTGAGGTGGTTTGTGCCGTTGGGTCTCCTCGACTGGATGCAGAAATGTGGCTGTGAGAACGTGATCGAGCTGGACTGGTGGGAGGAGAACTGTGTCCCCGGACATGACAAGGTCACCTTTGTCTTGACACCTTCCCAGCACTGGTGTAAAAGGACTCTATGGGATGACAACAAGGCTCTGTGGGGTAGCTGGTCTGTGTTGGGCCCTTGGAATCGGTTTTTTTTCGCCGGAGACACTGGTTATTGCCCTGTTTTTGAAGAGATAGGAAGAAGGTTTGGACCTTTTGACCTTGCAGCTATTCCCATTGGAGCATATGCACCAAGGTACGTGTGCTTCTAAAAAACAACATTCCCACTATTGTTTATACCAGAATAAGCTAACTGAACTTCAAAGTAAAGTAGTCATGATTTTGTGATACCGTATAATTTGTGATTTTACTGGTGGACTTCGTTATACATTGATTGGGGGTTAGTGGGTGAGATTCAGTTAAAATTTTTAAATAATCATAGTCATATTAGCTAAATAATTATTCGAAGCCAGAAATTATATTACCAACAAAAACATTTCTGTCCTAGCCCAGAAGGTCACACACCATTTTGACGGAAGTTAAACCGATCAGCCAGTATCAGACCTAACGCTTGTTCTCCCTTTCGCTTGGAGGATGCTCTCCTCTGTCACCACTCCTTGCTGCATGGCTGGAACGCACTCCCGTTCCAAAGCGTTTTGGAGCTCTCCTGTGTGTGCCCGAGGAAACCCAGGAATGGCCCATAGCATTGCTCACTTGTGTTGGTCTTATTTCAGTCAGCACTGAATTCAGTCTGGTAATGACATTGTTGCATTACTCACCCCTTGCCTTCCAACCGACATACTGATCACCTGTCTTTGGAGTAGATAAAGGTCACACGAACTTTTGAGAACTAGGAGACCCACTGCCTGTGTTTTCCTGAATTCTGTCTATTTAAGGAAAAGAGAAGTTATTTCAAATAATTCAGTTAGATTGCAGTCAACTCCAGTTGATATGCACAAGTTAAGAGAAAATAAAAACTAACAGTAACAAAGTCAACACTAACACATAGTGCATTGAGCAAACCTGATCATTGGTTTCCATCTGATTTTGTTTTACTTATTTAATTAACTTTCTAAGTTCACTAAAGCCGTCTTTATTAATGCTTATTTCTCCCATTTATGTGTCTTTCTAGTTTATTTAAGTGGCTAGATATTTTTACCTTATTTACCAGGTAAAAATTTTATTTTAAATTATTAATAGGACTTGAATTTAACTTTTCCACTTAATTCTTATTCTGAATTCTAATAAAACCTCTCAAAACATCATCCAAGGTGTTTACAAATCAACTTCATATGGAATTGATCTTTACTCAATATATGTCTTTAGTATGTTAGAATATCTCATTTATAATTATGAAAATAAGTTTTCATATGTAGCAGAATGGAAACTTATCATATACAGGGTGTCCCAAAAAATGTATACACACTTAACAGCTAATAGCTCAATTGTTGTTTCTTTCTTTTCAGATTTAACCCATTGGAATTAATAATTATTCAACATGTGTATACATTTTTGGGGGACACCCTATATATGCGACAATATAAATTCACTCATGTAATTCCCCGTTTCTGCTTTAAGAAAAGTAAATTGTGGTAGCTTTTACGGTGTAATCTCTGCTTAGTATTAACAATTTAGAAATAAGGTTATCTATCAAAACTTTAGAATACTCTATATATTTAAGGTGATTACACAAAAAATGACTTTCAATAACAGGCGTGGGATGTCATCCTTACTTTGGGAATGTTTCTATCCAAGTCCGTTAGAAGTTTGAGTTTTTGTTTGACATTTACACTGGAGTAAACATCTTATTTACTTCAGATAGACATGAAGGTAGAAAGGAGTATGTCTATTTCTTTGATTTGCAGTAGGAATTTAAGAAAATGGACGGAAGCACCGGTAACTGTTTTCACCTCGCCCTGCATCCTGAGTGTCAGGAGCTGTGGCAGCACAGTGCCTCTCTCCTCTGCCGCTGAGAACAGTGTCTTTGTTTCTAGGCTCCCAAAGGGCTCGGCAGCTCCTACAGTAAATAACAATCTTCTGGCTCTAAGAGATGGATGAGCTGCTCCATGATGTGTTCTGTGAAGTGTAGAAGCACCTGTGCTAGTCCCTACCCATCAGTCTTGACTGCAGCCGTAGTGAGCAGTAGCAGCCCCGGGATATACATAATGTGAAGACAGTGTTGCTTTTCCTCTTCTAAACTAATGGCTGGGAAAGTAAAGGATTTGCCTGTAGACTGTACACTTCCCTTTTTATTAGAAATAATAATTCTTGCTCCTCAAAGTGTTCCCTGCTCTTTCCAAGGCGTTAGGCAGCCTTTCAGTGTTTCTACGCTCTAATTATCCCCCTCATGAACCCTGTCTTCTTGTCCAACCAAAACACCTCACTGTTCAGTTGTATGCTGTTTAAATAATATCCTTAGGTAGTAATTGGGGTTTTCTTGCTCCTGATCTTTAAATACTATATATGATTTTTTGTTGGCTTTTCAATTTAGCAAGTTTTTCTTCTTTAATTCTTTTTATTTTATTATTATTTAAATCTTTATTGTTGAAAGTATTACATATGTCCCCTTTTTAAAAATTTGTTGCAGCAAGTTTTTCATGTTCTTTTGCAAGTAGACTTTTATTTTCTAATTCTTTCCCATTGTTTTGATTCATACCAGGATTGCAAACTATCTGCTTTTTAAAGTAACAGTAAGACATTTTCAGAATAAATCATCAATAAAATCAAAATACACATAGCACAAAATCTTACTATTCAAAGGAGAGTTTTGCTTGAGACTTATCTATTGTATAGCAGTTTGTACATGAAATATTTTTGCTTAACTTTTTACGAAGAAAAGTAGACTTAAAGGAGATGGTTTTGCCTGTGATTTTTTTCCTGTGCAGAATCTTAAAGGTTGATTAGATGAAGCAGTCATTATATATTTCAAAGGCTTGAATTAATAAATTGCTGTGTTTCATCAGGTGGTTTATGAAATACCAGCATGTGGACCCAGAAGAAGCTGTAAGGATTCACATTGATGTTCAAGCAAAGAAATCTGTGGCCATTCACTGGGGAACTTTTGCCTTAGCAAATGAGGTCAGTCTGTGATAAAAATAACTGGTGTGTTTGATCTATGATAAGATTCAGGCATTACCACTCCCTTTGGTGTGATCAGAGATCAACTGGAATCAGAACCTGAGTGATTCATAGTCATCACATGAAGTGCTAAATCATGAGTTAGTATAACAGTATTTATATAGTGAAAAAACCCTTACTGCATGCTGTTCTTTTGACTTCTGTAATGAAGCGTTTGTTTATATAACAAAAAATGAGTGTAGTCTTGGGAAACAGAAAAATGAACCACCATGTCTTCTCTCTTAGGGAGCCTTTTGTTGTAGCAGAACATGCAAGACATGTACATAATAACTCTAAAACAGATGTCAAAGGGGTAGGTGGCCTCAGAATCAGGGATAGTTGCTGATTGGAGGGATCAGGGAGAGCTTCAGGGAAGAGGTGACATTTGAACTTGGCCATGAGAAGGCATTTCAAGAGGAAAGGGCAGAGTGTAGGATCGGAAGCAGCATCTGGGGTAGTGAGGAATTCTGTTCAGCCAGAGTATGGATGTCATATGGAGGGCAATGGAGGAAGTAAGGCTGGACAACTTAGAACTTTTTAGAAATGTTATTCATCCAGTAAACATCAACTCAGTGTCTGCTAGGTGCCAGGTGTTGGGAGAAATGGTACTTTTACTCATAGACTTATAGAAGAACTGATTTTTTAAAATTAAAATTGATTTCAGAGAGGAAGAGAGAGGGAGAGCAAGATAGAAACATTAGTGATGAGAGAGAATCATCCATTGCATGCCCTACACTGGGGATCGAGTCTGAAACCTGGGCATGTGCCTTGATGGGGAATCGAACCGTGACCTCCTGGCTCATAGATAGATGCTCAACCACTGAGCCATGCAGGCTGGGTGAAGAACTGATTTTTTGCTTAAGGTAGCAGAACCCTACAACTTTGCTACTAGCCAGTTCTGGGATCAAGCAGGAGGATAGAAGAAAGCTTTCTCGTCTTTCCTGGATCCAGGACCTGCCCTCAGCAAAATTTAGAAATGGCTGGTTGGCTTCTACGTTGCTTTATGTGGCATCTTCCACATCCAGGGCAGGAACCGTTTTCATGCTGTGTCAAGCACTCCCTTTCCGTCCCGTTTTTGGCCTGCCCTTTCCCTAGATTACAGCTTGTTCCAAAATTACCTAATACACTGCCTGCCCACTGCCTGTTCTCCCCACTCAAGATTCCAACATCGTGATGCAACAATCCTGAGCCACAGTTGGGAGATGGAATGGAGTGAAGGACCACAGGGATGGGGAGGATGAATGAGAATGTGTCTTTGTACTTGAAGAAGGGGGAAGTTTGATATTGGTTTCCATTGGTACACCACTATATTTGGTGGCATTTCTTATTCCATATGTGTGTGTTCCATATAGAGATATATGCATATATATGCTCCATATGTTATACCAGTGACTTAGAATTATTTTATTAAACCTGTGCAGAGAGGAATCTAGGATGACACCTAGATTTTTAACTTCAGTGATTGTTGTGCTCTTTACTGAGAAGATAGAAAACCCGTCTTCACGAGTTGTATTATTCAGCCTCCAGGAATTATTTCTGTTAAAAATCTAACCTCCATCTTTCTTTCTTAATGAAACATGTAATAAAACACACTTAGCAATTTGTTCACATTTTGACATTCGTTGCATAAACCTGACAACCATGAGTTTGTTAAAAAATAGATGGCATTTTCAGGGAGGATGTTTTGCCTGATTTGTAAACACTTTAAAACAATTTGCATGTAAGTAGATATATTAGCTGTTTACTATAATATAAGCAGGTTAAGGACATTCTTAACTCGGCAACACTTTGAAATTATACATATAACATTTAATTTATCTAGGAAATGAATGAATTTTCTAGATGACGTATTTAAGCACTAAAACTTAAAACAACTCAGTTCTGGGGGAAACATATTTCAAGCATTACAAAACATATGTTAACTTTTTAAATGACCAGTGTCTTTATCTTCTATTGGGATAGATCATAAAACATAACCCTTAAAAGGGTATGTATGAGTTGTCGTGGGCTGGTTCCTGGCCCTTACTGGCTTGAAGCAGGGAGCTTCTGCTTCCACCACTTACTCTAATTCTCTTCGAATGGACTGTCTTGCTCTATACGGTGTTTGGCCCCAGGGCCATGGGTATTTTTCTCTCTCTTGCGGGACTGAAGTGCTCCCACTGAGACAGCTTCCAGTCACTCATAAGCTCAGTTAAGCCCTTCTTCTCGGCCTATCTTCTAGATCAGGGGTGGGGAACATCCGGCCCTAGGGCCGTATTGAAATCATTTGGTCTGGACCTGCCAAGGCATTAGGAGCAAGTTAATTAAATGTTTGACCAAATAGAGCAGGCTAATTTTTAAGTTGATAATTTTGTATGGCCCATGAATGATGTCATAAATATCCAAATGGCCCTTGGCAGAAAAGAGGTTCCCCACCCCCTCTTCTAGATGGTTTCAAACAGCCAAGAATTGACCTATGAAAAAACACAGATATTTTAGCATCAAAATCCATACCAAGTTACAGCTTATAACCAAAGTTATAGCTTAGCAAAGAAATCAGTGTAGGGTGATTGTGTAATTATATTGTTGGCTAAGACTTATAGGGAAAAGAATTGAACAAAACAAGGTTTTAAAAAAATGTTTTTATTGATTTGAGAGAGAGGAAGGGAGAGGGAAAGAGAAATAGAAACATCGATGAGAGAAACATTAATCAGCTGCCTCCTGCATGTCTCCTATCGGGGATTGAGCCCAAAACCTAGGCATGTGCCCTGATTGGGAATTGAACCCGTGGTCTCTCAGGTTATGGGATGATGCCCAACTAACCAAGTCACACCAGCCAGGGCCAAACCTGTGCATTTTGACAGAAAACTTTCCTCATTTTTCTAGTACATCACCAGCTGTCCCTTCTTAGTCTCTGCTGCCAGTTCCTCACTTATGCTTCCTCTCAACAGTGAGTACCTTAGGACTCAGCCCAGGGACTTCATCTCTTGCTGGTTACTCCTGTGGGGATTTCATCAGTCTTATGGCTTTAAATACCACTTATCAACTATCCCTCTGTAGCTCAGGTTTTTCCCATAATCCACATTTATATTTCCAACTGCTTTCTTAACAATGGTACCAAAATCTAAGTCCAAAGCCAAACTTTCTGAGCTTCCCTCAAATTTATTTCTCATACATCTCAGTAAGTGGCAAATCCTCCTTCTAGTTGCTCAGGCCAAAACCTTGACTTCTCTCGCTCTCATATCTTCCCTCCATCCAGTTTTCCCCCACATGCAATCAGCTCACCCTTCCAATTATATTAGGACTTTGACCATTTCTCATCGCCTTCCCTGCTACATGCCGCCCTTACAGTCTGTTCCCAACACTGCAGAGGACAGTGACCTTTACACCTTGAATCAGATCATGGCACTCCTCTACCCAGTAGCTTCCCATCTACTCAGTCAGAGCCACAGCCCTCACAATCGCCTGCAAAGCCCTGTGCATTCTGTCCCAGCAGGTCTTTGTTCAAATATCACCTTCTCAGAGAGAACTTCTTGGACTGCTGCATTTAAAATGAAACCTCCACATCCCACACTTGCCCACATTTTGTCCCCAGAATATATCAACCACTCAGATCAGATACTATTTTCTTATTTATTCATTTCTTATCTGTCTCTGTATTAGACTGCAAGCTCCACGGTTCTGCTTGGTTCCTTGGCCTGACTACTGTACGGTGCTCAAAGGATGCTGGTTGTGTGAAGGGTGGAGGCAGACCGCCCCCTGGTGATTAGATGAGACACTGTTTGATTTCCCCCCACATTTTACAAGCTTTTAAAATTGGAATTGGGGGAAATCCATTTGAAATAAAGGGGAAAAGTAGCAATTATACAATGTAAAGATTTAGACCAAAAGAGAAAAACTGGTGAGGTGATTTTTAAAAAATATCTTTTTTTAAACATATTTTTAATTGTTAATATCTTTTAAATCAGTAGTTAGAATAACACATATCCAAGTGGTTTCAGTTTATTTGGAAAACATTTTTTTTTTTTTTTATTGCTTAAAGTATTACAAAGGGTATTACATATGTGTCCTTTTTTTGGAAAACATTTGATAGGTTAAAACATTCTGCAGCAGTGTGCTGTCTTCACTTTTTTTTTTTAGATTGAAAAGGTGAACACACAAAGGGACATTCCACCTGTCATATTTCTGTCCCTCTTTCGCTCTGTACACTACAGTATCAGTATGTGGCTAGGGATTTGAGGATAACAACCCTTCTTCAGCCAAAAAGGTTTCTCTAGCATTTGCTTACACACACAACACTCCTGCAATGTAAGTTTCTATATTAAAAAATATTGGTAATATTTAATTCTCTAATATTATCTTAGGCATTGATTCTGTTTAGATTGAAATTTCATGTAGTGAAATAGTGACCAGATTTCATGCAATTTAATGTTGTTCAATCTAAGTTGGAACCAAATTTGACACACATGGTGTTTGGATAGATTGGTAAGTATGACGTTTCTATCGACTTAACATTAATGACTCTTGTATTAGAAAATGTGATTAACTCATTTGCTAATGCTTCAGTGAAAAGGGCATTATTTTAAGTAGACATGTTAGTCATTTTGGTTTGAATTCTTATTTGAAATATCCCCAAATACATGTATGGTTAACCTTTTCCCCCTTTTTCCTCTCTCTGCCCTTTGCCAGCATTACTTAGAGCCTCCAGTGAAACTGAATGAGGCTCTAGAAAGGTATGGACTTAAGAATGAAGACTTTTTCGTCTTGAAGCATGGAGAATCAAGATACGTACATACCAGTGATGAAAGCTTTGAATAAATATGAGCACAGGAGCTTTTAATGAAATAAATTTGATATAAATTTGAAAGTATGTGATTATGATTTTTTATATTAGGAAACTTCCTTTACATTTGCAAGTTTCTGTTTTATGTTTCATGTAGTAACTTTACTAATACGACTGCCAGTTCACATAAAGAGTTCAGGTATAGGTTAAGTAATGAATTGGCTAAAACTGATTTTAAAGACTCATTTCTGTTCTTTTCTTAAGGGCCTTCTGCAAGGTTAGTCAAGCCTGTGTACATAAGTAGATATTTTTCAGAGGACTGCTCACATAAATGTATTTCTTACATTCACACTAGAGTAATGATAAAATTGACTCTCACATGCTTATAGCACTTCTTACTCTGAGTAGCTTACATGCCAAATATTAAGTGATATATTTTTTAAGCATAAAAACATAGAAGAGGTTAGGCTAAGTTACATTTGTAAAGACTTTTTTTTAAAAAGAAAGGAACAGTATATTTCTATTGCATGCCTACAATCCCTAAATCAAAAGCCCCGACAGAATAAGGGAGTGTGGTTATGAGAATGTGATTTATGAAATTTTCTATTTTTAATCTAAATGTCAGACGCTAAGCACAAATATAGCTGCAAGGAAATATTTTACAAAGCTAAATGCAGATCTTAAGTGTTAATATACCATGCACTTTGAATTAAATTTTATTCTCTCTGTACACTCATATTTTTCTGGTTTCTTAGCTCTAACTCAATATATTAATAAGATTTATATTTTGTTTGACATTATTCAGATGTCATATTTTATATTAAATGATTCCCTCAGCATGATTCTACTTTTAGTAAGCCAGTGCAGAATACTAATATATATATATATATATGTAGAGAGAGAGAGAGAGAGAGAGAGAGAGGAATCAGCTGACTGAGGCTCAGTCCTAAGGGCTCTGCAGTCACCTGATTACTCTGAACCATCTTAAGTGAAGAGAGCTGATTAGATACATTTGGAGGTCCATTCTGTCTCATTCATAGTCTCAGTGAAATGAACTTTATTCATAACAAATAATCAAAGTAGGTTTTTTACACCAAATGCTACCCAGGCGGTGCCGTAGCACATATATATGCCTGCTACAGTTAGCCACTTAATTTCACCAAGGAGTTTTCTGTTACTGAAACAAGTCACCTATGCTCACGGTGCCTCAGTTTCCTCATGTGTAACAAGAGGAGAATTTTGAGCTACCTCCAAAAACTATGAATAATTGATTTTTTTTAAACGCACTTTGAAAATATAAGGGAGAAAATGATTTTTTAGGATACCCTTACCTAATACATATAGGTAGAATTGGAAGCTGAAAGTAGGTTAATTTTTTGATAATGTATTGTTCCTGTTACAGATTTCAGTATATATATCAGGACACTAAACACTGAGGATTGGCAACTTTATCTCATTCATTTTGTAAAATTTGGAAAGCCAAAACCAAATCTAAATGATCTTAATCAAAATTTAGCATTTTTACCTACAGAGATGCAAATTGGTCAAAAGGAAATGTGTATATGATGTTTGTGTATATACTGTATGTGATTTGGGGGCACTAAAGCACAAACAATTTCCCCATAAAATGGACCTTCAGGAAAAAAACTGAATAAGCATAAACTTTTTTCACTTCAAAGGAGCATTTAGCAAGCAGCTTCAAATCAGGATGTTGGGTTTGTGGTGGATTAGTTTTGAGTGTGTTGCCCTAATGGGTGTGATCACCTTCCTTGCTGTTTCACGCTGAATGGAAAATTCATCTCTTACCTCTGCTCTACGAAACAAGCTAAAGTACCTCTTGATTTCTTCTCTGTCGAATGCCTTAACATTATTTTTGTATTCACATGTACCAACTGATGGTCTCTAAGCACCTTAAAGTATGTGCTAGTTCCATTTAATTGGGCCTGCCTCAGATTTCTAGGCTGCCTCACAAGTTTTAATTACCATTCACATTCTTTCTACTTTGATGTTTTATTACTAAGAAGTACGTTAAGCTTCATCTCTCCTTATAGAATCTCGAGTTACTCCCATTTTATTTTTTAGTTATGTCTACATTTTGAAGGGTTTATCTGCAAAATGAAAAAGAAAATTGAAAAAGACAAATACATTCTCTTCCCTTCATTCAGTCTAATGTACTTCATAATACCTTTTAATCTTCTTCAAGTCAATTTCATTTTCCTCTTTGATTAGCTGGCATCATTACCAATGTGAGACATTACTGAAGTTTCCCTTTTTCCTGTGGGAACTGAGGAACACTGACATTCCTCATTGCCCAAGAGATGGAACCACCAATTAGGAGAAGTCGCACCTAATAAAAGCCAAGGTGTGCCACGATCTACAGAGATAAAGATCTGCTTGTGCATTTTCATTATGTAATTCTTTCTGGGTAGTTAAAAGGACTCCCCCTCTTTCTCCAGCATTTTGACATTTCAGGGTCAATGCTCTGATTTCCAGGATATGTGATTATTTATTCAAACTAATAGAAGAAGAAAAGAGGCAGTTTTAGAATTCAATGCTGCTAAAGCACATTGAAACCAAAGCCCAGTTTTTAATGTGTGCATTTTGAATATATATTTTTGGTAAGGAAGCAGACTAAAAAATTATTATAAAGAAATGTATCTTTCAGGGAATTAATACTTATGTTTCCATCACTGATAAAGAAAAGTATTATTCTTAGTCATCATATGTACATTACTAATGTAGCCACTTAGGAATTTACATGTTTTCATCTCAATATTGAATCCTTTTTCCACTGTAAAAATATTTCTTTCAAGTTTGAGTTCTGTATCAGGATAACTGTGAAAACACATCTTTCTGTTTGAGGATTTTGACTTCCTGTGGAAATCCATGTATTGACCAATGGAATTTAAAGTCTATTAAAGCTTTGCCTTAAATACTTGAGTAGGAAAGCTTCTGCTTGCATTTTTATTTACTTAATACTAAGCATGGTGGTGATGAACTTGAATATTATAAAACCTGGCTGAATTTCAATATATCAATGAATTGTTATAGTAGCTTATGGAGCAAAAATATTATTAAAGATAATAGCTGAGAAATTTTCATATATTGTATGTAATTTTAGTTAAGTAAAATATGGATAAAAATTAATGAATAAAGTACTATCAATTAATAGGCAAAAACATAACCTTGTGAGTTACTTTTTCTTTTTATTTAAAAAATTATGATAAAATTTATGCCACAGTAAAAATTTCAAACAGTAGAACGTGAACATAGAAAAGTCATTTCCTCACTCCACAGTCCCACACCCAGGAGTTTGAGTATCATTCTAGAAGTAGCTACCCATATATAAGCCTAAATAGCTTTCATTTAAAAACATTCATATTTCAGGGGTGTCTTTCCACATTAGCACATTCAGACCTACTTAGTTCTTTAAGACTAGCATGATTGACTTAACCAATTGACCATAGGTGGGCCCTTAGATGGATCCCAGTATTTTATAACAGCATCTTTACATGCTGGCACACTGAATGGGAGTGGGTGAGTAGTAGGAAACATTTCTCCGAAAAGTTTACCATTTTCATTGACTAGAATAGATTTTAATAATTAGAATAGACTTTTGAAAGCAGTATGGCTAGGCTGGCAGGTGGACTCAAGAGCATAGGATCTCATTGTTACTAAAAGAAGGTCATTCCTACGGCAGTTCTGAAACAATCACGTACTAATGCTCTCTCAGGTGAGTACTAATCACAGCCAACAGCAGAAGAGTAGCTTACATATAAAAAGGTCACTGTCACTTCATGTAGAAGAAATAATTAAAGTAGCTCAGCAAAAGCAAAATAAAAGGAAATAAATGTTTCAGAACAAGCTGTTATATTTGGTATCAATAAAATGGTCCAAAATACATCACAAGACTATGGCAAGTTCTAGCTGTGGAAATGATGAAATCTGATATTTACTGTTTAAATTCAGCAGCTGGAAGAATCCCTTTGTAAAGAAGATGAAGTTTACTTCCAGACTGCATTACTCTTTGGAAAGTATGACCTACCAGTTAGCATTTGGGTATTATTGTTACCTTTTCCTTCACGTCCGCATCATGATGATTAACTAATGCTCTCATTTTCTGGGCACATTCTTCTCCATACAACAGGAAGAACAATGAACCTTGAGTGAAAGTGGGCTGAACAGGTAAGTGGCCTTCCTTTTTGAGGCAGTTATTTATATTCTGAAACAGCGTCAGAGCTCGAAGAAGAATCTCCTTTGCCACGTGGCCATCATAAAGGGAAAGGAATGATGCATCCACCTGGGAAAGGAAACAAGAAGTATTTTAATATATGAAAACATTTTTCATGTATATTTTCATTTTAAAACTGTTGAATACATTTTAAAAATCTTACCATTGAACATTATCCCTACGATTGTATAACATAAATGCAAAATCTTATGTCCCCCCACACTGTATACTAATGGAAAAAAGAGGTTTCATGTTTTAGCTGAAAAATATGATTTCCTTGGAATCCTAGAACATAATCATTTGGGAAAACACCCATTTCCTTTTTTAAGGTCCATCATACAGTCTTCATGGGACCTCCTCAATTCACCTGTCAAACATTTACTGCACATATGCCCTGCAGGGCACAGGATGAGCAGGTGAACAGAGCAGGGTCTCTTTCCACAGGAGCTGAGGTCGTTCTAACTCTGCACCAACTCTGCTTCCTTCAGAATACTTATCTTTTAATTGTCTTGTTTTCCTGTTACATATTTTTGTCTCCTCCCTACATTGTAAGCTCCGTGAGGACAAGCACATGTCATCCTGTCCTCACTCGGAGTATTGGCACTCGGCCCAGCACCGGGCGCGTACTGGGAACTCCTTTCACACTAGTGTTTCCGTAGATAAGAGATACATGTGAGCATAACCAAGTCAAGTGTAAAAGAGGTGATGATATAGGTATAGCCCAAACTGGGTGGAGACAGAAAAATTACTATTTATTTTTACTAGGGAGACCTTTTCAAAAACAAATTTTAAAAGTAAAATATGCTCCTTACAAAAAATTTGGGAAATTCATGTAGGCAAAAAGAACCAAAGAAAAAACATAACACAATATTGTTCCTCAGAGATGATCCCTGTTAGCATTTTAAAAGGGATAAATCCATCCAGATCTATCTGTCCAAATCTACACATTTGTATATTTACAAAACAAACATGTAAGCTATTTACTTGGGCACCAAGTAGTCCTTCAGTCATGGCTGGATTTTCAGACAAATTCAACAGCAGTTTTAAAACTTGAACCTGAAATAAGAACAACATTGGTTTATTTGAGACTCGGTTGGCATGAATTTTTCTCTCCCTGTCCTCTCGCCATGTCACATTTTAAAGCACTGCCTATGCTTCAAGGTCTGGCTCAAATTCTCTTACTCCATGGAGGCTCTCAATTCATCTTATGTAAAAGGGATCGCTACCTCCCTACCCACACCCACTCCTGCCCCCCAACACCTGGCACAGGTCTCAGAGCACTTCTGTTATTTAAACCAAATTTTTCCAATTACCTTGTTAGGGAGAAAACTGTGAAGACAATATTCACCCCCACCTACATGCATATCTAACACATGGTAGGTTTAACATGTGTTACATAAATTGTATTATGATTACTGTTAGGTGAAATATGATCTTTGGAACAAAAAGGAATCTTTCAAAGTTCAGTTTATTTCTATTTAAAGTATGAAAATTTAAAAACAATTTGGTTACCAAGATTAAATAAATAACAATATGGCCCTTTTCTTCTTAGTAGGTCACAATGAATCTTTGAATTTACTTTTTTAATGTGAAAATGCTTTATAATCATTTAAATAGGCAGTGATAGAAATAATCAGCAAATAAATGTTAACTTATAGGCAAGTAGCTAAAATATCAGCATTCCTAACTGAAAACTTAGTAATTAAAAAATTAAAATGGAATTCCTACTTTAAAAACAAAGGTCAAATAAAACTGTACTTTCTACAAGATATTTGAAATGAGAGTGAGGAGCAGGGAGGGGGTTCTGAAGTCAGGAAACGGTGACAAATGTGCTCTCCACTAGACCCGAAAGGAACCAGATGTGTATTTTATAAAACGTTCTTTGATTACAAAGGCATTATGTGTTTACTAGAGAATATTAGCAAAGAAGATAGAAAAACACAAAAAGGAAATTCACCCATATTTCCATGACCAGAAATGATCACTACTAAGTTTTGGTATTTTCTCCCTGGTCTTTATGTACTTACTAGAGGCCTGGTTCTTCGGCCTGGCCTGCACCCTCTCACAATCCAGGACCCCTCAGGGGATGTCGGACTGCCGGTTTCCGCCCGATCCCTGCAGGCCAGACTGAGGGACCCCACCGGTGCACGAATCCATGCACCAGGCCTTTAGTATGCATATAAGATCTTTGGTTAATCTCTTCCCGCCCTCCCCACTTCCCTCTGAGATTCATCAGTCTGTTCCATGTTTCCTGCCTGCGCATTGAGCGTCTGCCCCCTGGTGGTCAGTGCGTGTCATAGCTATCAGTCAAACAAATGGTCGCTTAGGCTTTTATATATACACATCGTACATATTGATATATTCCTTTGAACACGTTGAACATACTAATTTGTTAATCAAGGAGGAGAATATATGACTTAGCTTAATTTTATTTTTTAATCAACTATTCAAAATTATGCAGTGGAAAACTAAAATATTGATATTAAACTTTATTTTCCTTAAATTTTTTAAAAATAAAATTAATAAATGATCATGATAAATTTCAAACAGTGCAGAAGAGAACAAGGTAAAAACAAAAGCCACCATCCTATCTGCCTACTGCACTCCCAGTGGAAACCACGGGTAACAGTTTCTTGTCTATGTGGAGATCATGTTTTCCAGACAGACATCCTTTGTAAAATTACAGCCTCTTAAAGTGAAAGAGCAAAGACAATTTCCGACCTTTTTCTTTAGTGCATTTCCTAGAGTCACTGTCAGGTCTGGGTGGCCCAACTGGCTGCCAGCGACACCGATAGAAAGTGTTAGGAATAAACACTCGTCTCCAACTTCACTGAAGTTTTGATTAAGAAAACTGGGACAAGAGTTCTGAAATAGGGTGGCCCCAAAATTATGAAATAAGCCTGAAGTCAACAGAATCTAAAAGGCCCTTAGTTGTCAACGAGGGCAGATTTACACCAGAAATAATAACCAGCAGCATACAGTATCCTGAACTAAAATTCCACGTTGCTATGTTCTGTAGAAGACAGATGACATGGAAAAAACAAAACAAAACAAAAAAACCCACACCAAAGAACATAGTATGTATTTTAGTTTGAAACCACATTAAGTCTCTGTCTCTTATCACATGTGCCATCTTGTAGTGGGCTCTGGGTCATTTCTTTTAAGCCATTAAGTTTTCTTTGCTCTCACTGTAGATGGAGCAGTTTATGTACATTCATCTTCCACTATTTCTATTTAGTTAGGAATCACTGTTATACCCAAAAGGTTATTAGAGTACAGTGAGATCACTTATTAAAAATAAGATTAAAAGAAAGTCATTTTGGTGGTTACTTACCAAGGAAATATCTAAAATGGATACAATTTCCCACTTACAAATGGATTACTATCCAAAAGTTAGTTTGCAAGTTGAAACTTTAAATTCTTATTTTTTTTTTTAAGGAGAAAAACAATGTTATAATTGGTGGTTAGATTCCCAGACAGACCATAAAAGCCAATTTTCTATTCCAGAAATATTGTACTAGGCACAGTAATGGAAAAACAGAAATAGAACATACTATTGTAGTGTGTGTCACCTCTTTTTCTTTTTTTTAAAATAATCCTTACCCAAAAACACGTTTTATTGATTATTTAGAGAGAGAAACATGGACCAGTTGGTTGCCTCATGTGTGCTCTGACCAGGGATTGAATCCGAAACCTGGGATCAAATCCA